AGTGTAATCCAACTATAACTTTTCCTAGGATTTTCGTCTAACGATTTCAGCTGTCTTAGCTGTGTACTTACCGAAATAAACATGGTCTATTCCACACAAATTACGCTACAACTCACCGAGGTAAATTGAATGATTATCATAAGACGTCAGACCAACGTCTTACTATTAAATATCATTCAATAGATCAGAAAGCAAGGGTCGCAATGGTCACTCAGTTGCCAATGTTTCAACCCAACGACAATTCTAATTGTAAAATAATCATGTGGCTATCACATGATGATAAACATATTAAGTAAGAAACATAATTTCCTTTCAGTTACTGGTTTTTCCATCAAGTAACTTTCTCAGTTGCTGGTCCAGCAGTTACTCCTAGCCATAATGATTCGGAGATAGTCGTCGGTGTCTCGGTTGACAACCATAGCAGAAACACCTCTTCCTCAACAGACTCCTCACAAACAGCCTAAAATGTGCCACAAGATGTTCCTCATCATCACCTGAGATGGGATTATATGACACAATATTCTCATCATCATCATCAGCCACCTTTGATTCCTGGAGTAATCACTTTTCCAGAGGCTCATCAGTGATTGATAGTTTCAGCTTATTGATATATTTGATGCATGTACAAAGGCTGCACAATTGATGAAACTTGTAATTCACTACATTAAGCTGTTGGTCGAGAAGACATGTGGTACTCCAACCAAAACCAAGTTGTTTTTAAATTTAAGGCATGTACCACAACCATACCCAGTCACCAGGCTTGAAATTTCGCTCCACTACTGTTTTCTTATAGCATCTTTTTTTTTTTTCATTTCTGGCCTTTTTACCCATCTACTACTGTGTAAACGTATCCACGTAAGTTATTACAGAATGCAATTATTCCACAGTATCCTGTCGACACTATGGTACCTCTGAACTGGTCGGAAGACCATACATTTGATTCTATGGGGATCTGTACTTCTTGTCCAAACACAGGAAATTAAGAAAAAACCAGTTGACTGTTGTTCATTTATATTTTATTCCATGATGACATATCGTCGATGATCATGTCAATCAGTTCAGTCAGGACGAACAAACATAACAAGCATATGCGTGACTATCTGCATAGCCCTTTCAGCCTAACCACCAGATTGAGGATGATATGTTGAAGTGGATGCATTACAGCACTACACAACCCTACAAATAACTAGTTGTTGAGGTTATCACCTTGATTCATATGGATCTCTCCAGCTGCTCCAAAGCATAAAATCTACTGTTCAGCCAATAGATCTGCAATGGACTATGCTAATATTTCAGCCAATGGATAAACTTCAGCCCACTTGATGAAGTAATTGATAATTACTATTACGTATTGATATTATACCAATTACTTTTCTCCTATCAGGTAGAAGACCAATTATTTTCATGGTGATTCTCTTCTTAGCACATAACATACCAATCTCTGTCTAAATTTTCCCTGGTGTGACCAATTTTTTCCACTAGGCAGCAAAATGAATGACAATAGTTTGTGACACATCCTAGTCTCCTCTTTATATTATGCAAAACCTCAAGCATTTCCTGTCTTAGAGCCCTGGATACCAATAGCTGTATCACAGGTTAGCTGCCATGTCTTAACAGTTAATAATGTCAGTACAGAACGCTATTCTGCACGCATAGCAATCAATAAATGTTTCATATTTGGTTCAAGCTAGTATTAAATCCACGAGATTGTAATGGGTATGAACTACCTTGATGCCCAGCACGTAGCACCAAAGATAAGCCTGGGTCCTTCAGTTGCTCTTCTCAGAGTTTCTAATTGATCATTCAAAATGTTCATCCAAATACGAAATTGTCACTTCTAGTATTAGTTTAGCCACTGCATGGTGTTAAGGATCTGAACCTGCAATACATGGACAAAATATCATGGGTTGGCCAAGTAATCCTTAAAGATTTCCTTGTTATTAACTCAATTGATGTTGTACTACAAAATGATACTCTTGAAACATGGGTATCCAACATTCAATCTTACCTTCTGTGTCTATACATTTCATTAGCCATTCAATGGTGCATGGTCTACTTGAATGGTGAACTCATTATCATAAAAGTAGTAATGGCAATGTTTGACAGATACTACATTTGCAAGCAGTTCTTTCTTTGTCTTACAGTATTGGTATTCAGGAGCTTTCATCATGTGACTGGCATAAGAATCACTTGTTCCACACTGTTCTGTGGCCGTAATTTTGTTGTATCTTTCAATGATGGTTTGCCTGAAGTTACTACTTCAACGATCAAAATGTGTCATGATGGACACAGCTTCCATGAGAATGATGATGTCTTTCACTCCAGAATGCTGTTACGTAAGTTCATTGGGAGGTCCCTCAATGAATTTATATATCAGGATATTTTCTCGTTCTGTAGACATCATTGCTGTGTGTGCTTTCCCATGCAATTGGTTGGGGACAACTATGTAGGTGACCAATTCCTTAGCGCCAGTCTTTTTTCGAGCTTTGAACTTGCCTGGTAGATCTCCCAATTCCCCAATGGGTCAAATCAGCAGTGCAGCTTATACTTGACAATTTCCAAGTCATTCAGCTTCTCTTAATCTAGGTGGTCGACGAAATCAAAGGCTGAACTGTCTAAATTTAGGAACAGATGTTGTAAAGCCTGCTCAGGAGTATATCCATTTCAGAAAGTAGTCCAGGTCCTCTTCTGCAGTATCCTTAAATGTAAGATGACTGATATACTTGGATTTACTCACAGGACAATTCATGCCAAGAGGAGACATTGCTGATATCCTTGGCTTCTGCTGGAGGCTATTCACAAATACTCTAATACCATCAATGGGTAGTTGACCTCTGATTTGGGACTACAGGATGATGAGCTGCTCATGGTGGTTTATCATGCAGCTCTGCACGACCCAGTTGTGGTTAGCTGTTGTTGACATGACTGAAAACCTTTACATTCCCTTTGATATCTCAGTTCATAGGTCATGATCTTCACCTGTGTGTGCCCACTGCCTCACCCGCTTCTATCAAGGAGATAACTTTAACTGCCAACAGTGCATTCAGCCTCTGCCCAGTATTCATTGGTGGTTTCATCAGAGCCAGGACTGTTGTAATCTGATTAGTAATCAGTAGAAACCTCACCATGTGGTTTCAAACACGCCAATTGCCATACCCTTCCAGTAAACTCTGATCATCCGATCTTCCCTGTTGATAAGATTGATACTCATGAACACCTCCTGCATAAGTGATCTGGGTGCATCAGATGTAGACAGATCCTCCTGAATCAGTAGTTACAGGTTTTCTGATGTCAGAAACTTTCACAACGTTGGAAAAAAAGGTCCTATATCCAGGAGAGAACTCCCCTAAACACCACATCTTTCCCACTCATCCATTTTTTCTTGCAAGTGAAATTACTCTCTTGACCATGGGCATTTATAGAGTCAGAAAAGGCCATTCTTTTCGTGACTCTTTGATTTTCAACTTCAAAGACCCTTAGAGATTAAGTCAGAACTAGCATGTGTGTTATATCATTCCAGAAACCCTTCAATAAATTCTGGTTTCATGACATCAAAATTTTCTTCTTTCTACCTTACCTATGGTATTCTCAGATAATCCAATTTCCATACATGTAAGAGATAGACCACATATAACAACAAGTTTAATCAGGAATTAAGGCGTGTTTCTGTAGGAGATACTTGGCCTGAGTTCCTTTTTTATGTGTGAAATGAATAGCCTGGACAACTTTAAAAGATTGATTTTTTTTTCACAAATAATACAGAAAATACAGTGCTCGTGCCTATGCAGATATTTGGACATTCCCTTTTTTACTAGATTGTCTAGTACCACAGTCTTCTTTCCCTCGAGATTGATTACTATTGGTCGTGTTGTTACTGTAGTAGAAAACAGAACTAAGAAAGCATGCTCGAATTTAGTATGTAAACTTGCTTTCGTTGTCTAGTAAATACCATCATCTCGAGATCTCGGCATTGGTCGGCTATCACCTTCAGTTAACGTCATAATTGGCCGGCGAAAAATATTCCAGTGCCAATCCGTTCAACCTGGATGCTCCATACAACACTGAAATTACCCTGGAGCAGAGAAGACATTACCTACTAAAGAAAACAATGAAACCAAACAACTAGAATAAGGTAATGTTAACGACTGCTGTAATGACAATAAAGAAACTAAGTAATAAAAAGCAAATTGACAATTTCTAGATCACAATAGAAGGTAGGGAACATTTTATTCCTGCACATCACTAGACAGAATTATGTAAAAACCTGATCGAAATGCTCTAACCAGGCAAACAGTCAGATACCCCACAAGTTTACAGGTTCCATACTTCAACCAATGTTCTACATTCAGTCATAGGTCAAGCCAGATGTACGCTATTCTGTACTTGCTATTGTAATAGGCGAGCTTTCAAGCCAATTAAGAAACATGTACACACTAGCATGAGAAGGTTGCAGTATGTAGCCTTTACCTGGGTAAACGGATCAGTACAAGTACACGACGTTGAGATATCAGGTGAACCAGAATGTCATAACTACGAGCAGAAACTGCATAGAAATTTAGAAAAATATTGTTTGAATATAACGGAATAAAGATAGATATATGTACTAGTTAGAGAAGGGCGAAATTCGCAATTGTTTCAGTTATATCACCTCATACAGACAATACTGTAACCAATGGCTTATTTAGCAGTAAGTAAAGGAATTTAGAACTAGGACTTGCGAAATCCAAATATAAACACTCGTCTAACCGGAAAACAAAATAATTTATTGTATTGTATGTTTAATCAACAAGTTTCCTTAAAAAAGAGGAGTAGCGCGAAAAAGTCATCAAAGCATTATGAAATGTATCAAGAACAAATTTGAATATTTAATTTTTACTCATTTGCTATCAAGCATTAGCTAAAGGGAATTCTGTTTTCCACCGCTTTATATATTTATTCAAAAACTAGATGGCGCTTAAAAATTGTTAAGAAGCATCACGTACACCGAATAGCGATTAGAAAGTGTTAGTTTTTGAATGTGTAATTTGTTTGGGCAGTCATTCACATATTATGTCTGTTGCTCGAAGTTCGTACAGCATTATTGTTTTCAGGGTAAGATGATGAATAATTTATCCTCCAATTCCATTCGTATACATTGTTTTGCTATATAGTTGCCATGGAATTTCTGCTAGGAGGAGCTGCGGCTTGTTGCGCTGGTGTTATCACTAACCCTTTGGAGGTGGTGAAAACGCGCGTTCAGCTTCAAGGTGAACTACGAAGTCGTGGTTGTTATGCTATTCATTATAAAAATGTCTTTCATGCATTTTATGCTGTTGCTAAAGCTGATGGAGTACTTGCCCTGCAGAAAGGGCTTGCACCTGCTTTGTGGTATCAGTTTTTCATGAATGGAGTTCGACTTGGAACATTTCATTGTTTGGAAAATTTTAATTTCATTAAAAACAGTCAAGGCGACGTTAGCGTTTACAGAAGTATTTGTGCAGGGGCTTTATCAGGATGCATTGGTTCTTTAATTGGTAGTCCATTTTATATGGTAAGTAATTCAATAATTTGTTTTAAAAATAAGCTACAACAAAGCAGAGGGTCTGCTGTTTATTTTGAGAAAATATGCAATATAACTCCTAAGTATAAAAGTATAAAGGAAGACATTCCTTATCGATACAAAAACACTTTTAACTTAAGTTAGTCTAGTAGTACGAGTATGATCAAGAACGCCAAGAGCTAGCACGGGCCCTGGGGCAAACATCCTCGCCGGGCCCCCTTTCTCTCTCTCTTTTTTAACATTTTCAAGAATTTATTAAGTAGAACCTAAATTAGGACAGCAACGAGCTCATAAACCAGACAAAATCATAGCATCAACCGTTTTTACCTCACAGTATAAGCGTAAAAACGTTTGATAAAGTAACAACAAATATATATATATTAAATCTATAAAGTAACAACAAATATATGTTAAATCTATAAAGTAACAACAAATATATGTTAAATCCATAAAGTAACAAGTACATATTAATTATTACTAAAATTATTATTTCAGTCGTTCTTAATGTATCAAGCGTCTATATACAAAGAAAAGCCCCAAACTATTATTTTTATAATTAAATGAAGATATAGCCTAAAGATTCTTTACGGCATAACCAGGTTTCATTCGCCCGGGCCGTGCCCCCCCCCCTCCCCTGTGGGTGGGCCCAAGTATGATGTATCTACCTAGTGGTTGGATCCATACTTTTATCAAAAAATATAAACTAGAAAGCTTTTTAAAAGCATACCCGTCAGGAGTAACCAACTTCACTGGGAATTATTTACATCATATATTTACACAGCGTGCGAAAGAGCATTAGGGAAAGCCGCCATTAAAGGACAAGAGTTTCACTGCAACACACATTAACCGATTCTGGCACTGCAGGGCAGCCAATACAGTAGACACTAAAAGCACACTTAGGCTTAAGAAAGTAAATATGACGTAGTAATAAAAAGCAAAAAATGCTTACGCCTATATAAAAAATATTCTGAAACCTTGAAATATATTTATAAATAGGTTTTTTAGCTTATTTTTTGGGTAAGTCCTTGCTTTGATTATATATGTGTATAGGCCTAAAATAAATCTTTGTATTTGATTTCCAACTGACCTTATTTTATTACTGTGAAAGTACTTTTATGTCTTGAACCTTCTGTTTTAGCAAGTTAGTATAAGTGACTGTAATGGCTTATTTAATTTTTATTATGCACACAATCTGATACTATTAGATGTCATGCTGTGTGTTTTCCAACAGGTAATGTTACTGTTGAATAGTAAATTTAAAGCATTGGGTCTAATTAATCACTAATGAGAAAGAAGAATTTAAAGTTGCTCTTATGAAATCAATGAATATATCAGAACAGTTTAAATTTAATTTATTTTTATGTGATTGACATAAACTGCTTATTAAGACAAACCTAACTGACCTCTGCAAATCTGTTCAAAGGAAGGTGTTTAACAACTTATTTTTTAAAGATACTGTTACCTGCTTATCGGAATAAAGTTTCTTTCATTTAAAAAACAAGAATTCTTTTTACACATTATACTTCATGAATAGATGTTTCTAAGAAGTTGTAAATTAATCTCAAAAAACAGGAACTAAAAGACATTCAAATCATAGGTAATACTGAAATGTGTACAGTTTTCATCTCCTGATGTGAGAGAGATTATGAATTCAAAAGGGTTCAGAAGAGGACTACTAGGATGATTCTGGAGACTGAAGAGTTATTTTATGGGTTAGGATCTCTTGGCTTATCTTTAGAGAAATGATTTTAAAGAAGTTTAAAAGATTATCCAGGGAATCATTAGGATAAAATACTCCAGTTTGTTTGTGCTGTATTCTGAAGTCAACAGTATGAAAGAAGTTTAAGACAGAATCCATTTAAAACCATTTTTCTGACAGAGTGATTGGGTTATGGAATTAGTGACTGTCAGAAGCAGCAAAGGTCAGTACATTAGAGGAATTTTACAGTACAAAATATTTACAGTGTAATTATCATTTCCACTATTGGATATTAGAAAGGAGACTAGTATCATGAAAATTCTGCCTATGTTTAGGTCACTGATATTCTAGTAACATAATGTAGTTAATGTTAACATCCAATCAGAGCTAGCTAGCTACTTAAAATGAAACTGGTATTGAATATAGCTAATTAAAAATACCTTTTTATATTCTTACTTATAAAGATTAGAACATTGCTTCATCAGTTGAGTGCCCTTGATGTTAACTATATTTTCACCCATACACCCAATAATATCTAACAAGGTTTGGCCAACTTAGATTTAAGTTAGTCCTAAATACATATATTAGGCCTACAGTGCAAAATAATCTATATAAAATTATAATAATAAAAAATTCCTTCAAAAAGTAATAGAATTAGATATATTAAACATTCTAATCAATAATATTATCGACAGTAATAGTAAAGAAATTAGAATGTAACTTTATTACAGAATACACTAACAGTATGTGTTGTCTTCAACTACTGTCGTTGATTTAATGTTTATAGAACGGTTTCATTAGTAAAACCATGTATAAGCAGAACTGTCCACGATTCTCCCTAAAAATGTTCTTGTGACCAATGAAAACCTATTAAACAGCACTGTCAGTTTAATTTTAAGAGTAGTGGGACCTGCGAAATAAATTCCTATAGGACATTACCAGTAGTACAGCCAAAAAGTAATGTTTATGAAGATGCCAAATAAGAAATTAAATGAATACCTGAATTGTAATGTTAAAATATAACAGTGTTTTATGTAATACAAAGATAACAGTATTTAAACATACTATGAGGTTGGAGATGGCTTGAATGGGTAATGAAGAAAAAATTTAATATATGTTTAACATAACAGCAAATGTACAATGTTTTGACAAGGTTTTGGTCATCATCAGGTACTGACAAAACCTTGTTGAAACGTTGTACATTTGCTGTTATGT